CTCGATGAAGACGAAACGCCCGACGAAGAACCGGAAGGATCGTGGAAGGTCATTCTCGAAGTCCTTTCGTCGCCCATGGTGTGGCTGCTGGCCGGCGTCTACTTCTTCGTCAAGCCGACCAGATACGCCGTGCTTTTCTGGGGGCCCGTATTCGTCCACGATAAACTTGATTCCGAAGTGTTCGAATCGGCTGCAATCAGCTCCCTCTTCGAATTGGTCGGTCCAGTCAGCGTGATCGCCTCGGGCTTCATTTCCGACCGCATCTTCGGCGCACGCCGCATGCCGGTCATCGTCTTAGGCATGTTCGGCCTGGCGATTCTCTTATTCTCAATCGGCCTTCTCCCTCCCTCGCGCTTCCTGCTCGGCTCGTACCTCATGGGCATCGGCCTATTGATTTTCGGTCCCGATGCACTCATCAGCGGTACGGCCGCCATCGACTTCGGTACGAAGAAAGGCGCCGCCACAGCCGCCGGTTTGATTAACGGTTGTGGCTCGCTGGGTGCAATTCTCGGCGGTTTCATCCCCGGCTACCTTCGCGACAACTATGGCTGGGGCTGGATCTTCGCTGTGCTCGGATGCTGTTCGCTGGCCGCCGCGTTGCTGCTGTTGCCGCAGTGGAATACCTTGCCGGCCACCACGCATAAGCAAGAAACCGGCACCAAATAGCCGTCACCGGTCACGCCTCGGCTTCCAGAGCACAGCCCTGTCTCCCGCTCCCGGTAACGTACAATAGAAGTATCGTTCCCTTACTTCTGCTTTCGGTGCGCCATGTTCGTTCGCCTGCTCGCCCTGATCGTCGTCACGCTCATCCTCGTGGGCCTGCTCTTCAGTAGCCAGCTCATCCACGAGCCGCTGAAGGTCTCCGGCCATATCGAGGCCGACGAAATCCGCGTCGGATCACGCGTCGGGGGTCGTATCGCCACCGTGCATGTCGAAGAAGGGGAAAACGTCGATGCTGGAACTTTGTTACTCGAGTTCGAACCGTACGACCTGAACGAACGCCTCGCCCAGGCCAAGGCCGAACGCGAAGCGAGGCGAGCGACCTACGAAAAGCTCAAGGCCGGCTTCCGCGAAGAAGAGAAAGCCGAGGCCAAAGCCCAACTCCAACAACTGGCCGCCCAACTCGATGAACTCAAACGCGGACCACGCGATCAGGAAATTAACACCGCCCGCGCTCGCTACCGTCTAGCCCAAGCCGAACTTGAACTCGCTCAGCAGCAGTTGACACGCGTACGCGAACTCGTCGAACGCAACGCTGCCAGCCAGGATGAACTCGACGGGGCCATCACACGAAACACGGTCGCGCAGGAGAACGCCCAAGTACGCGAACTGGAACTCGACCTGCTCCTCGAAGGAACCCGTGAAGAGGAGATCGCCGCGGCCGAAGCTTCCGTCGAACGTGCCCAACAACAATCGAACCTCCGCGAAACCGGCTACCGGCCCGAGGAGATCGCCGAAGCCAAGGCTGCACTCGAAGCCGCTGAAGCCGCCGTAGCGGCAATCGAAGATCAAGAGGCCGAACTCAAGGTGGTCTCACCGCTCGACGGAACCATCGAAGCCTTCGACCTGCAGCCCGGCGACTTAGTGGGCCCCAACGCCCCTGTGGTTTCTATCATGGACAACAGCACCCTCTGGGTCCGGGCCTACGTCCCCGAGAATCGACTTTCGATCAGCGTCGGCGATCCACTCGAAGTGACCGTCGACAGTTACCCCGATCGCCGCTTCAAAGGGCACATCAGTTTCATCGCCCGTCAGGCCGAGTTCACCCCCGGCAACGTGCAAACTCCCGAGGAACGTTCGAAGCAGGTGTTTCGCATCAAGGTCGTGCTCGACGAAGGGCTCGACGTGCTCCGCCCCGGCATGGCCGCCGACGTCTGGCTCGAATCGCCCGATTGATGCGCGCAGCACCAAAATGAACGTTCCTTTCCGCCAATCTTCACCGCCCATTCCTCGTTTGCCCAACGCCGATGGATAGCTCGAACGTGATCGAAGTCGATCGTCTCAGCCGGTCGTTTGGCGACCTGGTGGCGGTCGACGATGTGAGCTTCCAGGTTCGCCGCGGGGCAATCTACGGACTGCTGGGCCCTAACGGCAGTGGCAAGTCGACCGTCATTCGCATGCTCTGCGGAGTGTTGCAGCCCACCGGTGGCACAGCCACCGTACTGGGGCACAACACGGCCTCCGAAGCCGAACTGATCAAACGTCGCATCGGCTACATGTCGCAAAGCTTCAGCCTGTATGCCGACCTGAGCGTGCGCGAGAACCTCGAGTTCTACGGTCGGGTGTATCAGCTTGATCGGGCAAAGCTTCAGGAGCGGATGGACGCGGTGCTGACATTGACGTCGCTAACCAACCGGCTCGACCAACTTTCTGGCACACTTTCCGGCGGTTGGAAGCAGCGGCTGGCCCTCGCCTGTGCGTTAATCCACGAGCCCGAAGTCATCTTTCTCGACGAGCCAACCGCGGGGATCGACCCCGTGGCCCGACGCGATCTGTGGGATCTGCTGTTCGACCTTTCAGGGCAGGGGATCACACTGCTGGTCACCACCCATTACATGGACGAAGCCGAACGCTGCACCGATATCGGCTACCTGTACCAATCGCACCTCATCGTCAGCGGCCGCCCGCAAGAGCTGAAACAACTCAAAGCCGTCACGCCCGAGGGAACCCGTCGCTGGGAACTGGAACTCCCCGAGGCCACCCATCACCTGCACCAATTACGCACGGCCGACGGCGTGTTAGACGCCACCCTCTTCGGACAAGCCATCCATCTGCTCACACGCGATGACCTCAATGAAGCTGCTCTCATCCGGCTCACCAAAAGTGCGGCTGAACCTTCAGAGGCAGACGCGATTCAGGTCCGCCCCATCGAGCCCACCCTCGAAGACGTTTTCGTCACGCTCACCAGGGCCGCTGAAAAGCAACAAAATGGTTCGACCATCGACGAAGCCCAGACAGAAATAAAAGAGCAGCCGCCTCAAGAGGACCAGGCACCCGCGGTAGATCAGCCAACCGAATCTGGCGATGCGGACGAGAGCCCACCCGCAGAACCGCCATCGGAAAAGAAAGAAGCCAAGTCCGGCAACTCCTTTAGCGGTCTATTCGCCATCTTGGTGAAAGAGTCGTACCACATCCGCCGTCAGCCGGCGACGCTCTTCTTCATGTTCGTCATTCCCGTGCTGCAGACGATCATCTTCGGCTATGCCATCGACACCAAGATCGAATACATCCCCACGGTCGTGCTCGATCTTGACGGGCAAACCGCCTCGCGGGAGCTAGTCGATGCCTTCCGCAACACCAACACCTTCGCCATCACCAATCGCGTGCTGGACAACGAGTCGTTCCGTCGCGAGCTAACTTCCGGACGCGCGAAGGTTGGCATCATCATCCCGCCCGATTACAGCGACCGTCTTTTAGACGGCGAACAAGCCCAGGTTCAAGTCCTAATCGATGGCAGCGATTCGCAATCGGCCACCAGTGCGCTGAACGCCACCAGCCTGTTGGGCTTCAATCTCTCGCTCCGTTACACACAACCTTTCGTCGAGCAATTGAACTCGGTACCCACCCGCGATCAATTCGGCGAGGCCGCCATCCCCATCGATATGCGGCCACGCTTGCTTTACAACCCCAACCTGGAAAGCGCCTACTTCTTCGTGCCGGGCTTGGTAGGCATCATTCTGCAGTTGGTCACGCTGTTCCTCACCGCATTCGCCATCGTTCGCGAACGGGAACTCGGCACACTCGAGCAACTGTTCGTCACCCCGGTCGGCAGGGCAGGGCTGCTGCTGGGAAAGTTGGTCCCCTACGCCATCATTGGCATGGTCACCACCACGCTGGTGCTTACGGTGATGGTTTTCGTGTTCGGCGTGCCCATTCAGGGGAACATCGCCTTGCTATTCGGCCTAGCCACGCTGTTCGTCATCTGCTCGCTGGGGCTGGGGCTGCTGGTCTCCACGCTGGCCAGTTCGCAACTGGCCGCCATGCAGTTCGCCTTCATCATCATGCTGCCGTCGATCCTGCTCTCCGGCTTTGTCTTTCCCCGCAGTGAAATGCCGACGGTGATCTACCTCATCACCTTCGCCATTCCCGCCACCTACTTCCTGGAGATTCTCCGCGGGGTGGTGCTCCGTGGGGCCGACTTCTTCGATCTGCTCCCACAAACCATCGGGCTGACCATCTGCTGCGTGGTGATCATCACCGCCAGCATTCTCCGCTTCCAGAAGCGACTGCAGTAACCGCGGCTGTTCCTCAGCCCAGCTACATGTTCACCAGTCGCCGCCCGATGGGGCTCAAATTCTCAGGCGTCAGTTGAGCGATGCAACACAGGAAATCGCCCCGCGCGAAGTGGGGATTCGCCCGAACGAAGAAATCGACATGGGGATCATCAAGGTGACGTTCACTCACATCGGCTCGTCCCGGCCGCACCGGCGTGGTCTTCTCCAGCACCACCACACCCTGATCCCGCTGATACTCTAGGGGGAACTTCACCGAAACCAGGGCATCAATCGCCGCCTTCAACTCGGGCGATGTAGGAAAATCGACCCGGGGGGCCGACTGTTCGAACATTGCTGCGATGATACGGTAACTACGAAATGTGCAGGTGAGCAGCAGCCAATAAACCTTGCGGTCTGGCCACTTGGCCGAAGTGGCCATTAGATGCTGACCCACCACGCGTAAAAACTGCCGATCCGCCCAATGCTTAGGGTCGATAATCGTATCGCCGGAGAACAACCCCACGACCGGCTCGCCCGCCACTTCCGCTTCCAGGGCCACCAGTGTAGAGAACCCCTCAATTCGTCCCTGAGAGCTGCGGATGACGAATACGCTTTCCTTCTCGTCCAGGTCATGCTCGAACTGTTCGCGGTCGACATTCTCAAACTGCGCACTCATCAACTCGTACATCCGCGCGCGATCGTCCGCAACAATATCCTCCACGCGGTGCAACACGGTCGTCATTCGTTCAGCAGCCGATGTCATCTGGCGAAAACAGCCCTTTCAATTCAACCGTTCGACGCGCTGGAAACTTCCGAGCGAAACTCTTCGTACTTCCCACGAGGCGTACGAGGGATATCTTCCACGTAGTTGAACTGCACGTCGAAGTCATACTCCAGCCCCCGCTTCACATAACTGCGAATCGCCTCTTCCTCCTTCGGCGTAAGCGGCCGCAGCGTGACGAGGTTCAGTTCCAGCAATTCCAGTGTCTTCTGCACCACCTGAAACTTCGTGATCGGCGGAAGGTCTTCAAACACCCCCGCCAAGTCGCGGGCTTCAACCACCGGCCATCGCGTGCGACCGTCTGGCATCGTAAACATGTTTCGCTGTCGCCCCAATACCCGACGCAACACCGGCAACCCCCGCCCGCACGCACAAGGCTCGCCCACTTCGGCGTAATCGCCAATCTCATAGCGAATCAACGGCATCGCGAAGTTATGCAATCCCGTCACCACCACCCGACCAATCTCGCCGGGTTCACACGCACGGCCATCGTCGTCCAGTACTTCCAGCAGCACATTTTCCGCTTGAATGTGGTAGCAATTGTGCTCGGGGCATTGTAGTGCCAGGTAACCAAACTCCTCTGAGCTATACGTATCCACAACCGGCACATCCCACGCCCGACGGCAAGCCTCACGCACATGCGGTTCGAGAATCTCGCCAAAACTGCGCACCTCGCGCAGCCGATTCAACTTCAGCCCGTCACGCTCGAAATGCCGGGCCAGCGCGTGAACCACCGTAGGGTAAGTCATCAAATACTCGGGATCCTCTTGCAGCAGCCAGCGAGCCTGTTCATCCGTCGTGCTATTAATGTGCAACAACGAGCAGGGCCCCGTCTCGAACAGCCCCCGAGTTGCCGAACCCCAATTCTGAGCCTTCGCCCCCGCCGGCGGACGCGCAGCTTCAGAATCGACAAAGCGAATCGCGGCCAGCTTGCCTGAGAAATCGCGACGATGCCACAAGTGATCGCGAAGCGTAAACACCCGCCACGAGGCCGATGTGACCGCCGTGCCCAACACCCGAACCGGCTCCCCGGTCGAACCCCCGGTGACATGCAGCGAAACCTTCCCATGCTCGCGGGGCAGGGCGGTCGAGTGCAGTCCTTCGCCGGCAAACTGCAATTCGCGACGCGTTAGCGTTGGCATCTGCGACCAGGCCAGAGGGTCGAGCGCCGCTTCGGCCTTTACCCCAGCTCCGCCCCAACCTTCACGATAGTAAGGAACACTCTCCAGGGCATGCGTAAGAACCCGGTGCAATTGCCGTCGCTGCTGCTGCTGCAACGCTTCGGATGAAAGCCACTCGGTCTGCTGCAATTGGAACAGCATCGCCAGCGGCAGTGCCGCCTGTGGGCGCGGGATGGGCGGCCAATCGATACCTGTGATGCCCGAGTTGAGACTGAACGGTTGACCGCGTTCCATATGTTGCCGCACCCAAAACGAAATTGGTGTAAGCAACCCATAGTAACACGCAAACGCGTACGGCCCTAGAATGCATCGGAGACATGCCCACTTCCCTAGAGAACGGCCAATGCATGGGCGCTACGGTGATGGCAAATTCAACTCCGTTTCGCCACCTTCCGGATCGTTTAAGATGTCTTCGGCCAGCGTGTACAGGAACCAATCCAGGTTCGATCCTCCCGTCAGATCATCGACCAGCGAGTTACCCTCGACGGTTTGGTCAACCTGCAGAAAGTAATCCCCATTGTCTCGCGGTCCCACTCCGGTGCCGGAGATGTTTTCGATCCGCGTCGCGTAGTCCCGCCCCGAGGTCCATTCGGCTATGATCGCATCCACGGCCTGCGGCACTTCTTCCTCAACGAACAGCAAGGCTCCGGCCAAAAAGATGTCTTCCCCCGATTCCCCCAAAAGCCAGTCGCCCAGCAGCTGCTCAGAACCCTGAACTCCTCCCACTAGGAAGTCGCGTCCCGCACCTCCGTCGATCGTATCGGTGCCCACGCCGCCATCGATGAAATCGTTCCCACCACCGCCAAACAGTTGATCGGCCGAACCCTCGGCTCCGTCCCCGCCGTAGATGCGATCGTCATCGTTTCCGCCTTCGACATAGTCATCGCCTCCGCCGGCAAGAATGGTGTCGTTGCCGTCGAAGCCGTAGATGAAATCATCGCCCCCCTCGCTTCCATCTCCGGCAATGAAGTCATCGCCCGCGCCACCGATCACGAGGTCGTTCCCAGTCGCACCTTCGGCACCGTCGACCGAGTCGGCCCAAAGGATGTCGTTGCCCGAACCGCCGAGTAATGTATCGTCGCCGTCTCCTCCAATGAGCACGTTCACGGCACCACCGCCCAGAAGGATATCGTCTCCGGCGCCGGCGTCGGCTTCGAGTTCAATGGTGGCCAACAGGCTACCGACCACCGTGTCGTCTTCCGATCCGGTGTAGGCCAATACCCGCCCAGTGATTCCCCCCAAGACTTCAGATGTATTGAGCAACACGCCATCTAATACCTGAATGTTCAGGCTGATTGTTCCAGTTCCCAACTCGGCGATATGGATCTGGTCGACTCCTTCTGAGCCACCGAAGGCAAAGTTCGTAAGCCCTGGCGAGTCGTCGTCGACTTGAAATTCGTACTGCGAAATCACCGGCGATTCCAAAGCGCTCGGTCCGCCGGCGTGCCGTGCATCGACGGCCACCACGCTGAAGTTGTTCATGCCCAACTCGGAAAACCGATGCGTTACTTCCACAGTCGCGGGGCCAATGATCGTTTGATCGACCTCGCCGTCGGAATCCCAGTCGATGCGATATTGAAACTCACCAGCCTGATCCGTTGGGTTCGGGTCAGTGGCCATCAATGTGAACGTCCGCGGTTGATAGGGAACTCCGGTTGCAGGACCATCAATGCTTACCGTGGGGGCCCGATTCACTACCAACACATAGTCGCCCTGCGTGTCGCCCTCGGGCAGAACGCGAATCGTGTACACCCCGGCTCCGCTTGTGGTGTAGCTCAGTTGGGTATTCTTACCATCGGAGGCCGAACCGGCATCGGCAGCGACAAGCCCTCCGCCGGGGCCGAAAATCTCAATCGCAGGGTTGAGTCCGTTGGTCCCTTGCCCGGTGGTTTCTCCCGGAGTTCGTGTCGTTACCAGAATGGTTTCGTTGTCGCCTAAGGTAATACTGTAGTAGTCATCGCTTGCAGGCAGCGAATCGTGCGAGGCCTGAGAAAACGTCTGCCGCACGGCATCGATGCTGGGGCCCATCACCATCAAGAACGTGGCTTCTCGCCGAACGCCAGGCAGGATCGCTCCCAAATCGAACGCCAGGTTGATCGAAAGATCGGTCGTCTGTCCGTAGGGGTCTTGCGGACTGTTTAGCACATTAAAGGGGTCGGTCACCAAATTCCCTTCGACCGACACCACGGCCCGAGGGTCGATCGACCCCAGGCCCAACACCCCGTTGAACAACGATCCAGCCAGGACGAGATTCCCATCATCGACCACATCGTTCGAGGTGATCACATCGCCGCCGGGGTCGGGATCTTGGTTTTCCAGCAAGGCCACATTGTTCAGCGTGCCGCCGGTGTTGTTCGTAACCGAAGTCGTCACCACGGCGAAGTCGTCACCGTCGCTCCACCGCACAATACGTTCGAACACCACACCCGGGATGATCGTGCCCAGAATTCGCACGCCATGCTCTGAACCGCTGGAGATATCTTCCAGAGTTACGGCAAAGTCTGTCCCCGTGGCGGGCGAACCATTGGTGTAGGTAGCCCCATCGAAGGCCACGGTGTAGGCCGCCAGCGCCGTGCCGAAGTCAAGATACTCCACGCCATTGTGACGGGCGCCCAGGGTCGAGCCCACAAACGAACCGTCGGAGGCGAAGCCCAGTGAGATAGGCGAGGCCAGCACATCATACGGCCCAACCACAGGTGTACCCGCGGCCGCACTACCGCTGGTGCCGTACCCCACCGAACCGAAGGCCACGCCCGTGGCGGTAATATCTTGCCCGGTGTCCGCCTCATCGTTTGCTTCGATATCGAAGGATGCGTTACGCGTAACCAGCATCCGATAGTCGGTAGCCGTCGCGCCGGTAACCCGAACGTAGTAGGTTCCCCCGGTCACAATCGAATACCCGTCGATCACCGCGTCTGCGTTCACCGCCGATGTGGCCGACTGCAAGACCATGTCCATGGGATCGCGCAGCTCGACCGAGAGGGTGCCCCGGCGTTCGCTGGTGGCCACTAGGCTCACGTAATCGCCGGCCGCCAGCGTAACCGCGTAGTAGTCGGGCTCAGGTTCAGGAACGATCCCCACCCCGATTTTGAGACTCACCCCCGAATCGACAAACTCGTTGGGGCCATCGTCCAAAGAGACAAGCAGTCGGTTATCGCTTTGCCCGGGTATTTGGAAGTTGAGGTCCTTGATCCCTACTGTGGCACTCGAGCCGCCGGAGCCTGGATGGGCTGTGTCGAGATCGAGATAGTTCAGCTGAATCGTGTTGTCGCTCTCACTCAGCACGGCTTGAAAAGTAACCGTGTCGCCGGCACCCGCCCCCAGGAACCGCACCTCGTTCCACTGAACGACCAATTTCTGGTTGCTTCCGCTGCCTTGAACCTCCCAGTACACGGCCGATTCTGCAGTGGTATCAATGAACAAATCGTCCCACAGCACGGCAATGGTTGGCAAGAACGGCGACTGTGTTAGATCAGAGTTGTTGGGTGATGTATCGGGGGCGAAGAAGTTCAACGAGCCATTGCTGGAGATAAACGCCGAAGTGTAGACCGACCCGTAGAAAGAAAAGGTGAACCCATCCAGATGCAGCGCGCTGAGTTGATAAGTCGCGTTGTCAACGCCACTGACATCATTGTCGAAGATTTTTGTTCCCGTGTCGCTTACGTCATCGAATTCGAACGGCACGACTAGGGCCTCGTAACCGAATTCGTCTGGCCCCACCATCATCAAATCGCCCTCAACCGCTCCTTGGATCAGGGTTCTCGATACGTTGGGGTCCAACTCCACCAGGCTGTTGTCTAAGTTTTGCGCCGTAGCAACGGTGTCGTTGGAACCAATTCCTACTTCTTCCAATTCGACATCACCGCTGACAACCACAGCCAGATCGTAGCTGCCGGTACTCCCGCTGAGGGAAGATATCTGAATCGAGTACACGCCTCCTTCGGAAATGTCGAACGACTGAATATAAGCCAAGGCGCCAGGGCCCGGGGCCTGCGCGGTGAATTGCAAAACTCCTTGGGGATTGAACACACGAATCCGCGATCGCAGTGATCCCTCGGCGGCGACAAACACCGTCAGCGATTGCTGTGATTCTAATGAAACGTTGAACGTATCGATGTCACCGCTCGTTTGAATCGATCCCTCTAACAGCTGCTCGCGTTGCAGCGTACCCAAGCTGTCGGTCGCCGGGGCTAGCTCGTTGAGTTGAACCGTGTCGAAGTCCAGCGTATAGAGCGAGGTGAACTCGAGGCTTGGATTGCCGTAAACGTCTTGCAGGGCTCCTTCGACTAGCCGGGCCGTAAGCGATCCTTCAGCGCTCAGCCCGGCGATTGTGTACTCCACGGTGTCAGCATCAATCATGTTGAAGCCAACAACGCTGCCATGGGACAACGCCAAGTCGTCGACTCCTAACGAAGCGACTTCGTAAGCTTCATTCAAATCCAGCCGAATACTCGTCAACGGTAACGACGCAGTGGAGTTGGCCGTGGGTGTGCTCGATAGCACTTGCATCGGAACTGCGTCCCACCGGAAAACCGCATCGTATTGATCGATCGCCTCGAAGGCCTCATCCTCGATCGCCCCTGCGGCGATCTGCATCGACTGCATGCCTTGCGTCGTTACAGGGCTGCTGAGGAACGTAAACGTAAGGGTGTCGTCGTCGGTCAAATCCACCAGGTCGGCCGGCACGCCATTCACGGTAAGATCGGAGGCCTGAACCGAGGCGGCAGAGTAATCTGTGGAGAAATCGAAAACGAACTGTAGCGGAGCAGTGGTCACCAATCCGTCTTCAGCCGGCGATGAACTGATCACGTGGATCTTGCCCAGGGCTTCGATCGCTTCGGCCAATGCGAACATGTCGACGCGGAAATAGTCGGCGTCGGTGTTGATCACGTTGTCGTTTTCATCATCCCCATCGTTGACGACAACCGCCGTGTCTTGCAGCAGGTCGGCGAATTCCTGATTCGTAAGCAGTCGCCCCATGGCCGCATCGGCAAGCTGCTGGGCAAGTACGGCCACACCCGCGATATGCGGCGCGGCCTGACTGGTTCCCGCATAAGTCGCCACGCCACCCACAGCATCGGCACCCGAGATCAACGCACCCGGTGCCAGCACGTCGGTTAGTAGAGGATGCCGTTGCGAGAAGCTGGTTAATCGGTCGGCATCGGTTGTGTAGTCAATCGCCCCGGTGCCCCATTGAAAGGGGCCACCATTGTTACCGTCCCACACAGCGCTCACGGCCAGCGAATTCGGATCGGCCGCAGGGTACGACACCCCAGGCACACTGGCGTTACTGAAGAAACTGTTGCCCGCAGCCGACACCACCACCACATCGAGCGCAGCCAACGCGGCTAACTCGTCGTCGAGACCGTAGTCACCCGCTTCAACTTGCCGATTCGACCCGTCGGAAAGCGACATGTTCACGGTCACAATGTTGTAGGTGGCCGCGTTGGCAACCACCCATTGCAGGGCGGCTTCCACATCGCCAAAGTTGCCGAAGCCCGCGTCGTCCAGAACCTGCAAGTGGATAATGTCCGCCCCAGGGGCCACACCGGGGTACGAGACATCTTGCGAGGCAACAATGCTCGACACGTTCGAGCCGTGCCCGTTCACATCTTGCGCGTTGGAGTCGGCGCCGGTGAAGTCCTGGTTGTAAACGATTCGATCGGCCACCCCGTCCAGTGTTGTATCGGGTCCGAAGAACGGATGGTCCAGATCGATGCCCGTATCAAGCACCACAGCCGCATAGCCTGAGCCATCGACACCGGTGAAACGAGGGTCGCTCTGAAAGTCGTCCAGGTTGATCAACGGCCCCGAGTCGGCCGTTTGTTGCTGTGCCGTGTCACCCTCATAGTTCCATCGTTGCCCCACGGCTTTAGCAACAGCTTCGGAGGCGGTGGTGGTCAGGCCACTGCTAAGCTGTGCGGCCAATGCAGCACGATCGAGACCAAGGGTGCCCCAAGCATCGACCGCCAACAACAGTCGCGACTCGAGGGGCTCGACGTTCGCCTCGTAGCGATTGAGGAACCTGTTTCTTACAGATCTACGATTGAGCATTTAGGCGTCTGGAGCCTCAGTGAGAACCAAAAGGACCAGCAAATGCAAATCAACTTTGCCGCCCAACGCTTCATTGCGCCGCGGCTCAGCGATGGCCGAACGGCATCGCTGGGGAACGAATTCTCGCTTCGAGAATTCAACGAGCGTTGGCCCCCACCAAGGCTCGTCAGATTAGTAACATCCACGCGCGAAAATCACTCGCAGACATTGGGCTGCATGCTAATCGACCGACCGAGCACATACAAACAACCGGCATCATTTCACAACAAATCTTTACAATTCTTTCTGCGACATCGCGGAATTCCCGAGTTCAAGGAGTTCCCATTGGCGCAAATAAGAGGCTCTCCTCTTCGCAGGGGAGAGCCTCGTGATTCATGATCGAATGAAAGAACAAGCTTGCGGCCTGAACATCACTGGTTCGCTTAGCTTCGACGGCGGACCTTACGCCAAACACCGACCGAAACCAGACCCATGGCAAGCAAGACAATGCTCGATGGTTCAGGCACCTCCACCACTTCAAACACCGAAGTGCCCGTGGCCAAGTCGAGGTTCGTCAAGCTGAACTCGATTTCCAACCCCAAGCTGCTTCCCACGGCACCTACCGCGGTCGGACCAAAATTGGCGGTGGTCGAAACGGTTTCGCCCTGCGTTGTCACATTCAACGACGTTCCAGCCAGCAGTTCACCAGCACCGAACACCGAACCGTCAACCTGCGGCGTGTAGATGGGGCCACCACCCGCCGAAGTCAGCGAGCCGGTACCCGAGTTGAAGACGTCTTGAATGCCGATTGCGATCGAGCCGGTACCGACACCGTTCACAATCGCCGGAGCGACTGGCTGCAGATAGTTCAAGGTGAAGGTCGTAGTGCTACCGGTAAAGTTCAGCACATTGATCACTCCGGTTACGAAGGGGTCTGCGTTAGTGTGCAAATCCCAGGAGAGATCAACACCGTAGGCACCGCCTGTTTCAGCGAGGTAGGTCGCGTAGTCGGGGTCGCTGACATCCACCGAACCCAAATTCACGAACTGCGAGCCAGCTCCAGCAAATTCGCCGGGCAGGCCGCCCTCGTCTTCTTCCAGCGAAATGGTCACCGTTTGCCCACCGAACGAGACGGTGATCGTCGGTGCTTCATACTCTGGGAAGGGATCGGCCCAAGCCGGAGTAACCATCCAGGCAGCGAGTGCCAGTGCGAGGGCGAGCAATGCCCCGTGTCGTCTAGATTGTCGCGAGAGAAAAAGCCGCATGAACATCTCCCCTGATGTCGAACTCAGCTCACTAGCGAAGCCCTGTTGCAAGTTAATTCAAAGCCCAAAATGCCACATGCACCGTCCAAGGTGCTTGCTTCTTCTCTTCGTATTCTCAATCACATTACTCAGGACCGTCGGCGGTAGCCGGCGTAGCCCAGCAACATAATTCCCATGCCCATCAGCAACACACTAGAGGGCTCAGGCACCACGGCGTAAAAGTTCGAGTTAAATGACGCCGTAGCGTCAGGGTCGAGCGTAAACCGCCAGGCGATTCCGATACTGTTCACAATCGGCCCACCCGCTTCTGTTGGGTTAGCCACCGAACCGCCAAAATCATCATCGGCAGTGATGCTTGTCGAGGGATTCAGGTTGAACGATTGCGGCCCGGCCAGTAATGGGAAGAAATCAGAACCATCGATCTGGGCCACATACAATGCGCCGCTACCGATTGAACCGTAGCTGGTTGCAGGTGGGCCGCTGGCCGTTTGCACGGTTGCCCCACGCGTGACTGAAGCCAGGAAGTTGGCCGGATCGGTTAAGGTAAAAGTAACCCGATACTCATGAGCCAGGGTATCGGTGTTGGTGATTCCCATACCAGGAATAATGGCTCGCGTGTCGCGATTGCCCGTGCTCGCACTTACACCGCTCACGGCGGCCAGGGTCAACTGGTTGGTGAACACGTCGGGCAACACTTCGGCACCCACGCCGTAATACCCGCCAGAGTTCGTAGAGAATCCCAGACCGAAATAGTTCTCTGGATTCTGAAAGTCCTGGTTCAAGAACACCGGGACAACTTCGGTATGCAGACCGTTATCAACGTCAATCGTAACGGTAGCTACCGGGGCAGCGTGCAGGGGAGTTGGCACGCCGAGCGTTAAAATGAATGCCCCACAAATCGCCAGTGCGGCGATTAAGGGTATGCGTCTTGTGCGTGGCCTCACTAGCGTTCTCCTCGCCTCGTAAGTCTTCACACATCCGGCGGAGTTGGCTGGCCCGCGAAAGCTAGCGTTTCCACCCATCAAGCAAGCGCGATGTGTCGCGTTTAAATGCCAGATTTGATCAGGAAATTAGCAATCCGTCGGGGGGGAGTCAAGGAAATTCTGAGCAAATTAAGGCAATTTTCACCATCCACCACCTCAGCCGAGGGACCATGAAGATGGCCAAAAGACCGCTTTATTGGGGCAAAAAACAACCAATCTCTGTCCGGAAAGCTAGGCTTGCGCTGACGGAATTAGACCAAATCGAGGCAGCCCAGCCTGCCCCAATCGGGTGGCAATCAGCCTTCGCAGGGAGACCTTTTCTATGCTGACAAGCGACACCACGACCCCACCCGAATCGGGCCTGCTAGCATCGCTCCTGGCCGAACAGAGCTTCCTGCCGTCAGCCCCCGAGTCCATCGAACAAACGGGCCTCAGCGACACGCTCATCGAGTCCCTCATCCTCAAACTGTTGCTCACCACAGGCACCTCCTCAGGTCGCAACATTGCCGAACGGATCTGCATCCCCTTCGGCGTGCTCGAAGAGCAACTTCATTCCCTCCGCAGCCGGCAAATCCTCTGCCACACCGGCTCGGCCGCTCTGAACGACTACCGCTACTCGCTGACCGAGACCGGTCACCAACGCGCTCAGTCCTACATGCAGTCGTGCGCCTATGTGGGGCCCGCGCCGGTGCCGCTCGAAGACTACTTGATGTCGGTCGAGGCTCAGACCATTCGCGCTGAGGCCCCCCAACGCGAGGCCCTGGAAAAAGCCTTCTCCAAGATCAGCATCGACACCGAGCTGTTCGAAAACCTCGGCCCGGCAATCAACTCAGGGGCAGGACTGTTCCTGTACGGCGAGCCCGGCAACGGTAAATCGACCTTGGCCAAATGCATCACCATGTGCTTTGGCCAACACGTTTGGGTCCCTCACGCCATCATCGAAGACGGACAACTCATCAAGTTCTTCGACGGCGTGTACCACGAACCGGCCCAGCAGCCCAAGGGCGGCATCATCAAGTCACAGAATCACGATCCGCGATGGATCAAAATCCGCCGACCAACCGTCATCGTCGGTGGTGAACTCACCATGGATAGCCTCGAGATCCGCCACGACCCGCGGGCAAACGTCAGCGAAGCCCCGCTGCAGCTCAAGAGCAACTGCGGTCTGCTGCTCATCGATGACTTCGGCCGCCAGCGCATCGAGCCCGCCGAACTGCTCAACCGCTGGATCGTGCCTCTGGAAAGCCACACCGACTTCCTCACGTTGGCCAACGGCAAGAAGATCCAGGTCCCGTTCGATCAGTTGATTATCTTCTCGACCAACCTCGATCCCGAAGACCTGGTCGACGAAGCCTTCCTTCGACGCATCCCCTACAAAATCAATATCGGCGATCCCTGCGAGGAAGAGTTCCAGAAGCTTTTCAATCTATACTGCGAGTCGTTCGATTGTGAGTATCGCCCCGAGGTGGTCGAAGAACTGCTCGCAAAGCACTATCGCGCCGAGGGCCGCCCCCGCCGCCGTTGCCATGCCCGCGACTTGCTGCAGCAGGTTCGCAACCTCTGCGTCTACAACGGCTGGCCGCTTGAGATGAAGCTCGAGCACTTCGACCGCGTCGTCGGCTCGTACTTCACCATGCTCAAAGGGCGTGACGCCTCGCTCTAAGCAGGCCTTTCAGTCAGCCTTCGACGCACAAGAAGTGTGAAGGACTACGAAGCCGTAGCTCCAAACCCGGCGGCTTCTTGCTGATCACGAGTTCGCTGATCCTCAGGCGTGTTGCGTCGGCAGCGGACGGGTTCCACCAGTGCCGTTAAACCCTCGCGGGTAATCACACCAACCGGGTGCGATTGCTCGACCACCACCACTTCGGCGTTGGGGCGATTGATGAAGAAGTTGAACAACTCGCCGAACGGCGTCTGACTTTCAAAAGCCACGGCTTCCACGTCAGCCGACTCGACAATCGTCGACCCCGAGGCTCCATCTGCCAAACCCTGCAGCAGATGTTCCACCGAAACAAATCCCAGCAGCTCGCCGCGTTCGTCGGCCACCGGCGCGCCCATCGTTCCCGAGCGCCGCAGTAGCTTCAACGCTTCGGCAGCCGAATGATCGGCCTGCAAGACGATGGGGCAGGGGGTCATCACATCGCGGGCCACCGTGTTCTCAAACATCCTTCCGGGTGCCGCCAGGTTACGCAAGATCGCGTCCTCTTCGGCGAACTCACCTTCGCAGACCACGCAGTCGCGGCCCGATTGTTTCGCTACCTGCAGGGCATCAAGTGCTCGGCCCAACAGCGTAGTGCTTTCACACTCCAGGCCTTCTAGCTTGCCTTGCATTGTGGCCACCCCGAAGCTGGCCGTTATCCCCTTAATGTCCGCATCGGCTCCCGAAGCATTCTCTTCGATGTGACGCCTTCGCGATTCTGCCCAACGTCGGGCCTCATCCACGCCGAATCCCGGCAAGGCCACGGCGAAAATATCGCCCGAAATCCGTCCCGCAATCTGATCCGACTGGCAGCACTTCTGCAGCATCTCTCCCGTCTTGCGAATTACCCCGTCGGCCACCAGGCGGCCCTGCAGACGATTGATTCGAGTCAAAAAGTCGATGCCACACACAACACAAGAAATCGTATTCCCGTTCCGCTCAGCAGACTCGCCCCGATTGATCAGGGTTTGTTCGAAGGTGTCGCGTCCAATGAGCCCCGTTAAGGGATCGACATATCGGGCATCGCGCTCGGCAGCCGTGCGCAGCCGGGCGGCGGCCCGAAGCCGCGCCAGCAGTTCACCATGCACGATGGGCTTGGCCAGGAAGTCATCGAATCCACTCGCGGTCGCCTGCAGCAGGGCATTGGTCGAAAAATCGCTGGCCACCAGCATCACGAAAGCTTCAGAGACCACCCCATGCGAACGAATCGCATGGCACAAGTCCAGGTATTCACGCTGTCCCAAAGCGTCGTCGATCAGCACCACGCTGGGTTCCACGGCCTCAATTGCGTCGATTGCTCGTGCTTCGGTCGATGCCTGCGTGACCGAGTAGCCAAACATTTCAAGAAAACGCGACACCTGCCTTAGAAGCGAACGGTTGGGCGAAATCATAAGAACCCGCGGAATTTGTCGCTGTGCCGCCATCCGGCTTCTCCAGTCGAGTGTTGCGTGAAGACAACGTGATGTAAACGTTCCTCAAGTGGCACCTGCGCAAGTCGGTGCTACCCTTCCATTGCTCAAGAACCTCTCGCTGTGTGTGCACCTCGAGAGCCTAGGCGCCGGTACCTTGCGCCAACTGAACTCTACCTCACAATCTCGCTGAGGTAATCGACACGATCGCCACCGCATGAACGATCGGAGCTTCCTGCAATCGCTCGGCTCTAAGGGCGATTCTCGGGCTATATTATTGATGCGATTCCTATCTACTTATTGTGTACTCGCACACGAGAGAATTACTTCACCGCTCGGCGTTCGTTTGCTCTGCAACATTCGGCCATGGCGTTGAGATATCCGTCCACATTCGGCGGTTTCAATTCATATGCCCACAAGCCAGACAACTGAAGGACGCGTTACCAGCGAGGTCTGATGAGGACTCAATTAATCAACGAACGCCGTAGTACCACCGCGTACCTCGAACCCTGCGCCGCCGGTGCAGACTCGCCCGAGAAGATCATGCTCGACGAGCTGCCATTGGTGATGGGCCGCGATGAGTCGGCCGATTTGCAGATCGATTCCGGACGAGTGTCACGGCAACATGCCGCGATCTCGCGCGATGGCGACGCCTATTTCATTCGCGATCTCGGCAGCACCAATGGAACCTTTCTCAATGGTGCCCGTATCGACGAATCCGAGCTGTCCAGTGGCGATATGCTGGTCATTGCCGACGTGGAGTTCACGTTCTGCATTCCCGGCGACGATCTCTATCGAGCCACCGCAACGCAAGTGCTCGACGACAACCAATGCGCTGCCCCCACGGTGGCCGAGCCGTGGGAGGTCGTTCGGCAAATCCGCTGCCTGCACGAAATGCTGGCCGGCCGCGCCATCGCTTCGCACTATCGGGCGATCGTCGACCTGGCAACGCACGAGACCATCGCTCACGAAGCCCGCGACTGCGAGCCCGAAACGCCGCAAGTCGAGTTGGGCCTCATCCGAGGGCTCGAAGGTCCGCTCACCGATCGGCTGCACGCCATGCATCGCCGTCTGGCTTGCGAGAATGCAAAGTCCCTGCCGCCGAACACAGCATTATTCGTCGAAATCCAGGCCTGCGAACTCGGTGGCGAACGCCTGGCAGAATCGCTCGGCGCACTGCGTGCCACGTTAGGCCAAGATCGACCGTTGGTAGCCGTGGTGCCCGAGGGAGCCACGCACAGTGGCGAGTATCTCGGTGAGTTGCAGAGCCGCCTCTCTGGCTTCGGCATCGAGATCGCCTGTCGCACCAACGGCACCGATCTGGAGCGGCTCGTCGATAGTTGTCATACACCTCCCAAGTATGTGATCGTCGATGCCACGCTGTTGATTTCGCCGCGGCCCAACCCAAAAAGACAACGACTGCTTGAACACTTCATGAAGACGGCCAGCGAGCGCGGGATTCCCGTGATCGCCGAAGGGCTGTCTCGCGAAGGTGACGCCCGCCATTGCCACGAGCTGGGCTGCAGTTTCGGCCAAGGGCCTCTCTACGATCGGCAATCTTCCAGCGTGACCCCGCAAACAGTCGGCGTTTCCTAATGAGCGATGCCATTTAAGCACCACGGACAAACATCAGCTTCAGACTAGAAACAGTTCGCTGAACAAAACAGCACACAAGATGATGGGCGCCCAATCGATGGGGCCCGACCCAAAAGTGAAAACGTGACCTCGCACCTGTTGCAGAAATCAGAAAACATCGGTGGCTACCTGCTCGTCGACCGTCTCGGCGCGGGCGGATATGGCGAAGTATGGAAAGTCGAAGCTCCCGGCGGGTTGGCCAAGGCCATGAAGCTGGTCTACGGCCGCTTCGACGAATCGCGGGCCACGCGTGAACTCAAGGCCTTGCACCTCATTAAAGAGGTCCGCCACCCGTTCCTCTGCAACATCGAGCGATTCGAAGTCATCGATGGTCAGCTCATTATGGTCACCGAGCTGGCCGACATGAGCCTTAAAGATCGCTACGAAGAGTGCCGCGAGCAGAACCTGCCCGGCATTCCGCGTGACGAACTGCTCGATTACATGCGCGACGCGGCCGATGCCCTCGACTATATGGGCCAACGCCACGCCTTACAGCATCTCGATGTAAAACCAGAAAACCTGCTGTTGCTTAGCAGTCACGTCAAAGTGGCCGACTTCGGCTTGGTCAAAGGTCTGCAAACCGGTGCCACCATGTCGCTGGTCAGCGGGCTGACTCCCATCTACGCCGCTCCGGAGGTGTTCGACGACCAACCGACCACCAACAGCGATCAATACAGCCTGGCGATTGTCTATCAAGAAATGCTCACCGGCGTGCTCCCGTTCCCCGGGAGAACGCCCGCCCAACTCGCCGCACAACATATCTCCGGTCGTCCGCGCTTAGAAAAACTTCCCAGCTCCGACCGAGAGATTATCGCCCGAGCGCTATCGAAAGACTCCGACTCGCGATTCCCGAGCTGTTCCGACTTGGTGCAAGCCCTTCGCGATGCCGGCAAAGTTGCAACGCGGGCCGAAAGTAAAGTCAGCCAATCGCCGGGCAGTTCCGATGCAGACACCAAGTCGCTCGATTGCACCGATACCAACCTTCTTGAGAAGCCAAACAAGCAGCCAGCCCAACCTTCCGCCGGCGGGCTCAAGACTGAAGAACTGGACGATGAACAACGCGAAGCCGTCAAACACTCCACGGCTCATTCACGTTTGCGACTCAGACGCTCTTCGGCCGAAGCCAAGTGCGACGACCTGGGGGCCATGGATGTTTCCGGACTCCAGGCAACCCTGCAGCCCACGCTCATTCTGGGTGTCGGCGGAGTTGCCGGCCGCATCTTGGGGCAACTGCACTCGGGGCTAACGAACCAATTCGGCGATCTGACCAACGTGCCCGCCATCCAAATGTTGTTGGTCGATACCGATGCGAAGTCCCACGATCAACCCGGCCACGATTCACGATCGCCTAGTGTTCCCTACGAATCGCTCTGCGCGGCACCGCTGCGTAAGACACAGGATTATCGCGAGAACTCGCGAGACATTCTTCGCTGGATGAGTCGGCGGTGGTTGTACAACATTCCGCGATCGTTGGAGACCGAAGGCATTCGGCCGCTGGGCCGGCTGGCTCTGGCCGACCATGCCCCACGAATCGCACAGCAAATCCAAGCCGCCATCGAAACCTGCACCAGCGATCAGGCTCTTCAAGAATCGCTCGCAGCCACAGGCCTAAAACAAAGCGACACCAGTCTGCGGGTGATTGTTGTCGCTTCGATCTCCGGTGGCTCCGGCTCGGGCATGGTCATCGATTTGGGCTACATGACCCGTCAGATACTCAAGCAATTGGGCCGACAGAACGATTCGATTTGCGCGTTCCTCACGCACTCCACCAGCTCGAAACCCAGTCAGAGGGATCTCGCCACGGCGAACGCATTTGCCTGCTTGAACGAACTCTATCAATTCAATATGACCGGCGGGGGCTTCCCCGGCGACGGTGCCTGTGGGCTCGAAGCGGTCGACAGCCGCGTGCAAACGTTCGACGACACCTACTTCATTCATCTCGGCGACGAACTGCCTGAAGATGATCTAAATGCCGGTGCCAAGAAGCTGGCCAACTACCTGCACTTCGAAGTGGCCAGTGTCTGGGGCCCGCTGTTGCAGAAGTGCCGCCGCGAAGATCGCACGGCCGACGCCGTCTTCGGAGAACCGGTCGTTCGTTCCTTCGACCTGGCCCACATCGGTTGCGATCTGCAGCACACCGCTCAACGCGAAGTGCAGACCCTCTGCGAACAAGTTGTCCGTCGCTGGTGCGGGCTGCCAACCGAATCGAACGAGCACGCAAATAATGATGCTGAGAAAAAGGCCGACAACGAAGCCATAAAGAACGCGACCCGCAATGCCGAACAAGCCAAACAGCTTGGTCTGAGCAGCGATGCGTTCGTCGAGGCGATGCTAAGCCACGCCCGCAGTTCACTCGAAGTGACCGAGGACACCGGCTTTGAAACGGTTATCGAAAAGCTTTTGGCAGCCCAGGCCGGTGGAAAGCAGACCGGGCTCGCACAACTCGAGCCATCGCAAATCTATCGTGCCCTCGACGAGATCATATCGAGCGAGCCCGGCGAAAAGCAACAAGCCCGGGGAATGGTCCGCCGGCGACTCCAACAGTCGTCCCAACAACTCGCCCGCCGAATTGACGCCGAGGTGCGTGAATACGTCACGGGGTTGGCCAATTCACCGCAGGGACGTTTCCAGGCAGCCATGGAAGCAGTTGGCTGGTTCCGCTCGCGCCTGAGAGCCATCGCCACCGACACCCAAGCCCAGCAAGACGAACTGGCCGGTGAGTTAAACGAGATGGCCACGACGATCAGTGACCCTAAAGCCGCCGGCAAACGCTCGTGGTGGGGCTCCAAGTCGCGAGGAGGCAGTGCCACCGAGCAGCTACGTCGCGAGTTCATAAACCAACGCGTACGCTACGCCGCTTTGGAAGAGACCACCGCCTTAGCCGAACGCTTGAGCCAACAGCTTGGCTCGCTCAACGACCAATTGTTGCACGCACAACAGAGCCTCAAACCATTGCTGCGACTCTTCGTCAGCGAAGACTATCAACCGCCAACCATCGTCGATGAATTCGAAGACGAAGAAGAACCCGACACCGGGTTTGCCACCATGGTGGGTGCTGTGTTCCGCAGTTCGATCTCGAATCTCATCACGCAGCTCGACGAGAAATTCGACGCCGAGGTGCTCGATGCCGAAGGCGGATTGCTGGAAGTCTGTCAGCGTGAGGGGCAAGTCGCTCAGCTCATCGCCGCCCGCCTCGAAACGGCTGCCCAAGTGCTCGTGCAGAAAGCCGCCCGCGAGATCGACGTGACGCAACTGTTCCTCGATAGTTGCGGCTCAGAAGAGAAGGCACTCGAAGAAATCAAAGACTGCGTGCAGCTTGCCAAGAGCACCAGCATCAAATGCGGCGGCACACGTCGGATGATCGCCGCCATTCCCTCGTCAGCCGGTTCCGAGAAACTCAGCACGCTGATCACCGGCAGCATCGAACCTTCACCCACGGTGATCGAAGCTACCGAGCACGACATCGTCATCGGCTGCGAACAGGCCTCACTCCCCCTGGTCGCCGTCGCCGCCCGACTGGTCGAAGACCGCCCCGACCTCATCGCGTTGGCCCAACGCATCCACACTCGCATCGACGTCCAATGGGGCAGCATCATCGAAGCCGACGAACTGGCCGCGGTGTCGTAAGCGGAAGTTTCGACTCTGGTCACCTGGGTGCCACTGCTGGCTCGCCCAGCAGTGTCTAATTCATGGCAAATGCGGACCATCCCTGCCATGATTCGCTGAGGAACGTACTCGCTCCATCAAGGTGGCTTCAGTTACGTTGCCTCACAACTCTAGCCCACCGAGACGTGATCACGAACAGAAGCCCCGTGATGAACAAGATCACGGTTGAAGGTTCGGGGACCGGAACAACGGTGATGAAAGCAGGCGTGGAAAAGTCGATGCCCTGGCCAACACCGTTACCAGAGAGAAGTGTGCGGTCGCCGGTGATTGGATCGATTGAATAGAGGGCGTTAATTGCTATATCCGTGGCGAGGATCGTGCCGTCCAGGCTTACAGTGACCCCGAAAAGACCCTGCAGTGTAGGGCCGCTGCCAACGCCGGCTCCGGAAGCAAGCTCTCGATGCCCAGTCATGGGATCCACTCGCAGAACGGCACCCAGAGCATAGTCGGCTACAAGAAGCTCGCCACTTTCTTCAATTGCAATTCCGTACGTAGAACTAAACTCAGGACCTGTAGCGACGCCATCGCCTGACAACAGGTTGCTATTCCCGGTTCGTGGGTCAATTTCAAGAACACGACCGTAATCCGTTACCAGGATTTGACCAGTCTCGTCGATGACAATGCCCGCGGGTTGAACGACACCTGGTCCTGTTCCGATTCCGAGAAACGAACTTGAAAGAACCGATCTGTCACCCGTAGCCAAATCCACTCGGTAGACGTCGCCAATTGAGAGACCTGGAATCGAATGGGTCCATTCGGTTGTCACGATAAGAGTATTATCGGGACCAAGTGCAAGCCCTAACGGCCCACCAAATGCTGGACCATTCCCGACCCCTGGACCTGAAACCAATGTTCGGTCACCCGTATTCGGATCGACACAAAAGATGCTGCCAGCAGAAAGATCACTGACAAGAAGGTCGCCCGCGGGAGTGACTACCACTGCAACAGGGTCGTCGAGGTCGGGGCCGCTACCCACTCCGTAGCCTGTGATGACCGTTCGAACCCCGGTAGTTGGATCGACCTGGAATATCCCTCCTGAACCAAGTGCGGTCCCAACTGATCCGTAGGCCGCCACTAAAATATCCCCCGGCGAAAGCGTCGCGGCAGGAGATAGTAGGGGGAAGGCTGTCAGCACGGCGAATACTGCCGCTTTGATGATGAGTTGCGCTCTCAAGCCATTCTCCTTGCGTCAAACCGCGGGCTCGGGAGTGGCGAGCCTGACAGAACAGTCGGTCGTCTGATGCCATCGGCCCGGTAACAAGACGAGTTACTTCCAGCGAGAGTTCGTTGCACGACGTCTCAGAAAGTAAAAGAACTCCTGCCCTGGGAGGAAGAGTACGAACGCTACCGTAGCCGGTGGGTTCGCTGTGGGCAACGATGAAATCGGCCGCCCAGCGGATCCACGCTTAAGCGTTTTACAGCGACGAGGCTGTGATTACAGAGGTGGTTAGCCTACACCGTGGCGCGGCGGGCTTCGCCGGAGTCCCAGACGATGGAGACGACCATCAGGGCGAAGGTGGCGGCGATGACGCAGAAGAATCCGTCGGTTTCGGCCGAGAAGGAGACCACGGTTCCCAGGCCCACCAAGCTCAACGCGGCGAAGAACAACAGTTGAAAGATGATTTCAGCGGCGGTGCCTACGCTGGTGCGGGCGAGCCAGGTGCTGACCACGCCGGCCACGCAGATGGAGATGAGTAGCGTGATGCCGGTGAACGTCGTCTCGATTAGGTCGAACATCTTTTGCGGATTCCTTTCCTGGGCACTGGCCATGCGATTGATCCTTCAACCGCGCAGTGGGTCGATCGGCCAAGTGCAGGAGTGCGAGTGGTGTGCCAAAGCTCAATTGGTCGCCGCAAATCGCCGTCTCTCAGCAGGCTGGGTCACCTGTAATCTCTGGTGAGACAAAAACTTACGCGATCCTCGTTCGAGCCGTTTTCCGGAGGGTCATATCCGGAAAAGTCAGGGCATTTTGCTCATTTTTGCAAATTCTACAAGACGAACCTGGAGCGGAATCCAGCGCTGCGGTCGATTGCTGCCCTACCCAACCAGGTCTTTCCAGAATGCGCACCTTAACACAAGTGGCACGGCCTTTGCTTTACTGAGTGCCTGGTCGATGAAGTCCGGACATACTCTGCGCGCACTTGGCTCCCGTCAGGTACGGGTGGAACTGACTGCGCAACGCGGTCCACCTCCATCGTCTGAGTAGGGAACTGGTATGGAACATCGCGTGGCCAACGGCCGCTGCACGCTCGTCAGCGTGATTGAAACGGTCGTGGCACTTTCGGAGGAATGCTGCATGTAAAGGGTTTACATAGCAGAACTTATCGAACTCTGCGGCGCCCCCAGCTCAGGCTCGGCTGCGTCCCTCGCTCGACTGCGCTCCCAGCGTGAGACGTGATTCTCGCGCCTCGGAAGCGGTGCGGATCGATGTGTGGGAGCCTTGTTCTGGTTCATTGCGACGCGGCTGCGCGACATCAGGATCCCTCATTCTGCGTTTTCACAGCACCGTTGTTGACTGGCTGCGGGAGACCCGTACGCCAAGGTCTTCCGGCTGCGCGTTTCACCATTTTAGTGAAATGCACCCAGCGTTTTAGTGAATCGCTTCGCAAGTTGTTTAAAGCCAATTGTTTGCGACTTGCGTTCCTCTCTGCCTTTCTGGCAGCTAGCAGTCAGATTTCGCTTGATCCAGTGCCGCAAGTCTCTGTTTTATAAAGGCTTACCATCGATAGATGCCCTTCTCATCGATGCAGTGAAGACTAGGCTGCTCACCTCGTGAGGGAACGAACGCGGCGATGATCTTTTTGAAATTTCTTAGCCCCCTATTTATCGGGCTTTTCGCGTGCAGAACGCTTCGTGAGGGTGCGGTAGTGGGCTTTGGCACATGCGTTGCTTTTTGGGTCTGCCACCAAGGCGAAAGCAACTAACAATCAGCCGTCCGGAAGGCAGGACGGAGAGACCCAAACCGAACAAAGGAGCACGCCAATGACGACCGCCTACGAGACCGAATTCGACCATTACAACGAAGCCTCTGAGCAAGAGACCGATCGCCTCGCCGGACGTCGCACCTATCGCCCGCGCCGTGTCCCGCGAAGCCAGCGCAAGAAGTCACGACGCCGTGCCAGCTTCAGCCATAGCCACGGCAGCTTCTCGCACCGCAGCAATCACCACTGGGGCATGTAGTCAACCGGGACTGCGTGCCGGAGTGCGTCGTTAGTGAGCGGTCGAGCCGCCGCACCCTCCGTGCGGGGCTCCCCACATGCGGCGTGATGCAATCACGGCCGATTCAGCAAATCCAAAGGGATGGATTCCCACCCTGCGGTGCCCGTCACCGCGCAGCGTGGAACAGACCAGAGCAAAAACATCCTCCTTGCCGTGGATGATTGCGCGTCAGAGCCGCAAGGGGATTGAGGCCAATCCCACCGCAGGGCTGGGGCAGCATTGGATATCGATCAACGTTCAACCACCGGGCCGGCGTGGGTGATTCTACCCGCGTACGAATGCTTTGGCTGGCGATGAGCTAGAGACCGCAGGTCCGCATCCGTCGGGCTGTTGCGTTGTTATCGCTTTTCGCGATCGGCTGGGGTGTTTGAACCGCAAAACAACCTAACTCCACGGCGGCAGGTAATAAGCGTCGATGGTCTAAGCGGTTTCTGAAGGTTGCGCTGGCTCGCGTCGGCGCAAGGTTCGAGATTTCGAACCGGGAATGGCGTCTCTCTTTGGGCAACGTTTCGACACATCGCCCTCGATTATCACCGGCGTGATCATTTCACTCGACGACATCCGAATGCGCACGGGCCGTCGATATTTGGGCAATTGCGCACGCGAAAGAAAGGGCAAGCGATGGAATTTCGTACGAAGCTGGAAATCGAGCGGATGGAAGAGCAGCACGAACAGAGCCAGTTTGGCCGCAACACCACTCCTCGCGCTCGTCAACGCGGCGGTCGACCATTGCGTCGTAGTGGTGGATCGAAGACGAGTCACTCGGGCATTCAAAACCGCCGACGCAAGCGGTACTTCTAAAGAGTATTGTCAGGCGATGACGAGGGTCGCCACGATTGGCTCGCCGTGCCGCCACCAGTAAACGGCGTGGCAAGCCAGCAGTGGCTTCCCTCAGACATCGCTGACAATGCTTCGCTTATTGCAGCAGTCGCTTCACTTCGCCATCCAGTTCGGTGACGTGGATGTTGCGGTTGGCGACTTTGCCGTCCTTGCCGATCAGGATCATCGTGGGCAGCGAGAGAATACCCAACTGATTGGCCAAGGGGCTGTTGTCGATTCCGCCGGCCTCGTACAGTTGCGGCCAGTTCCGCGGCAACTTGGCTTGCTTCAGGAACTCGCTCAGCTTCTGGGGATCGCTATCGACGCTGATTCCCACGGGCACGAACCCGTCGCGGCCGTACTTGGCCAGCAGTTCTTTAATCTGCGACATGTCGCTCTGGCACGGTTTACACCAGGTGGCCCAGTAGTGCACTAGCACGACTTTGCCTCGCAACTGAGCCAAGTCGAAGGGCGACTTGGTCATGATGTCCTGGCCCTTCAAGGGGATGGCTTTCCCGACACTCTCTAAGCGTCGCTTGGCACCAGCCGCCTTGGGGGCGATTTCAGACTTGGGGAACTTCTGGGCCAGCTCGCCGTACCACTTCTTGGCGTCGTCTTCCTGGCCAGCGAATTCCTGAGCCATGCCGAGTTGCAACATGGCCTCGGGCGTGAGCGAGCAGTTGGGGTATTCCTTGATGAAGGCCTCGAGGTCCTCGACCCATTTGGTTTGAATCTTGGCGTAGTCGGGGTTGGGCGCCTGGAAGCTGAGATTGTAGTCCGACTGCAGGTAGCGGAACTTCACGTATCCGGCCAGGTCTTCGTTCGCCTTATCTTTGGACAGCTTGGCGTAGAGTTCTTTCAGCTCGTCAACGCCCTTGGGGTACTCGCCGGTTTGGGCGGCGGCGGCCAACATGTCGGCCAGTTGGCGAATCCACTGAGCCTTGTCCTCACCTTCAGAGATCGAGGCCAGCTTCTCGAGCAGCTTCACGCGTTCGGCGTCGTAGGTGGCGCCGGGATTCTTCTTGTCTACCTCTTCAAGCTGAGTGAGTAGCTTTTGCGTTTCGCCATCCATGCCCTCGGGCGTGGTGGTGCCTGCTTCGGGGCGGCGGTTGAAAGCGGCCACCGAGAAGAAACGGCCCGAGTCGACCATCTCTTGGCGATTGGGGTCGAGCGACTTGGGGGCATCGAGCACGCGCCAGGCATCGCCGACTTTCACTAGGGTGCCGACCAGCACTTCGCCGTGCTTGCCTTCGGTGGTGACCATCGCCACGACGTTCTCGTAGACGATGAGGTCCTTCTTCGAACCGCTGGCACCTTGGGGCACCATGCCGGGACGAACCGCGCCGAAGCTGGCCCATTCGGTCTTGCCGGTGACCATTTGTTGGGCCTTCACAGCTTCTTTGAAGTCGTTGGCGGCGGTTGCGATCGACTCGCCGAGTTCCTTGGCCATCTCTTCGCCGAGGCCAAGTTGGGCGAGTTCTTCTTTGGTGAGCACCAAGCGCTCGAAGCGGGCCGAATCGCGTTGGGCCATGGCGGCGACCACCTCGGCGGTGACTTCTTCAGGCGAAATCACGCTCCAGGAGTCGATGCGGCCGTCTTCGTTCTTGTCGATGCCCCAGCGAGTGCCGCCGGTGTTGATCCAGCGAGATTGATCGGCTTTGCCGTTGTGGTTTGAGTCGACGTCGCGGTAGACCTCGATGCCGTCCTGGTAGTAACACCACATGTCGACGACGTTATCGTTGTTGGAATCGACGAATCGGCGGAGCAGTTGGCCTGCCTCGTCGCGCACGACCCAGCCGGTCTGGCCATCGATGGGCTCGGCCTTGATCGTGCATTTCTCGATCTGGCTGTCGGTGGGAGTGGTGAACTGGACGTCGTCCTGGACCGGCTTGAGCTTGAGGGCCTGTTCGGCCGAAGGTGCGGCGGCAAACGTGGATGACGCCGCAAGCAGCAGGGTGAAGACAGTCGCGTAAGACGTGCAATGTCGCATCGAGCCAAATCCTTTCATCGAGCCGCGGTATGCCCGCCGGCGGTACAAGTCCGTTGCGCTCGCGTTGCCACGAGATGGGATGTTCTGTAGGGAACGCCCTCTGTGGCGTTCCGACCTGAATGGCAATTCGCGGAACGTCTCGAGGACGCTCCTGTAACGAGTCGGTTTCAGAATAGAAATCGGCGTCTGGGGCCGACAAATTGATCCTTTCGTACCGGTTCTTCCGGTCGCAGGGTCTCCGACCCCCTCGAACAAGCCGGCAAGTTCGCCTAGAATTTCCAAGTTGGTCGATGACCATGGCAGGAGAAATGTCGCTAAGTTGCGCCATGCGAACTGTTTGCCAGCAATTGTGTCCTACAATTGACAGTCATCCGACCCTGTCTACAATCAACTCCTTCCGCGTTGCGGCCCTGGGGTTGCTAGCGGCGGATTTCCTTGGCGGCACGCGTGCGTGTTGCCATGGGCGCGTAGCTCAGTTGGTTAGAGCGCGGCCCTGATAAGGCCGAGGTCCCAAGTTCGAGTCTTGGCGCGCCCACTTTCACCCGCTTCTGCGATTTGCCTCGCGGAAGCCCGTGCGCGGCGGTTGCCGGCATGTGCCGATCTTACGCACCGAGCCGCAGGGCGGTTCACGCTGGCACCCGTGCTGGCGGTGCTGTTTTGGGTTGAAGGGGCGGCAGAAAATTTGCCCCCGGGAGGCCCAAACCTAGAATAAGACCGGTGTCGCCAGCACCACCAATGGGGACGTAGCTCAATTGGGAGAGCACCGGCTTTGCAAGCCGGGGGTTGTCGGTTCGATCCCGATCGTCTCCACTTTTTCGCTTCGCTGGCGGCACTGCTTTTCACCTGCTGGCGGTGTGCCTCTTGCCGGCCTCATTCTTCACGCGGGCTGCGCTGCATCGGGCCTCTTTCTTGGTTCTAGCTTTCTTCGCTGGCTTGTCACTGCTTCGACCGGCCTAATTAGCTGGCCGTGTTGTGTTCACTTCTTCGTTGCTCGGTGAAGTATGAAAAAGTGTGGTTCCGGAACCACGAACGTGGTTGGGACAATCGTGATGGCTGTGTGTCTGTGAATGTTGCTGGCGAGCGCCGCTTTGCGTTCGATGCCGTCTGCCGATCGCCTGGCCATCGGTTCGGGAATCCACCCGCGAACGTTTCGCAGATGTCGTTGCCGCGTCTTGGGTCGTATGAACGTACATAGACGCCTCCGGACGCAGTTCAGATCACGCAAAGCCTCGTCATAACAAACGCATCACACCAGAGCCGGCTGCGAAGTTCCGTCGAGCCCCGCAGACAACCCCCCCTCGCGACCCCACGCCTCCAGGCAAAACGCAGGACCCACGAACATAATGCCGAAGGGCAGGTCAGATCGCAATGTTTGTTTTCGGCCACCCTCTTCGTGGTGGTGCGGGTGAAGGGTGGCTGTGGATGGCGAACGTGTTTGTGGTTTGAAGAGAGAGAAACCACGACGACACGACGGCACAACGAAAGGGGAGGAAATGGTCTTGGGCTTCGCTCACGAGCGAAAATCGAGCCCCTTCGCTTGTAATGCTTGGCGAAGAATGTTGATGGCTTTGGGGCCCATGCCGTGGAGGGCGGCGAGTTCGGCTTGGCTGACTTTGGTGAGTTGGTCGAGGCTAGTGAGGTTGGCCGCGTAGAGTGCACGCAGCGCCGGTTGGGCGATGCCCGGTGGGAAGTTGCCTTCTATGGCTGCGGTTTGGCGAGCGGACTTTTCTCGCAGTTGCTTGTTGGATGTTAGCTCGCAGTTGGTGGTGGGGTTCTTGCGCTTTGGGGTCTTGGCCATTTGGGGTGCTGTGTGTGCAGGGGGGACGTTTTGTGTTTCGTGGGAGTGTGGAAACGATTCTTTGCTGAGTTGCAGGCTTCTGCGGTGGACCCGGCAATGAGCACTGGCAGAGCCAGTGGCACCCGGCGAAAGAGCAATGTTGTGCTGATATGACTTGGAAGCACGTCCACTTTATTGGATACTTTTTACCAAGTTGCGTTAGCGATCAGAAATGAAATATCTCAGTTTCACTCTCCATTCCTTGCCGTCCAGAAGTAAGAAGCAATGCCAGTAATCTGCATTAAGAGATTCTTTCGATACCGTCATATCGATGTAAATGCCCTCGAAGCCGTTCTGAAGATTCTCACAGACGGCTTCAATAGTTGGACATACACCTTGAGATACTCGACAGAGCTTATTGAGGTGAATCAAATCGCAGTCCTTAAGGAGATAGTTGCGACAAGAGGACCCACGTGTCGCATGAAGCTCGAAGCAAAATCAGATGGAGGACGTAGAGCATGTTTTGATGCTCTCTCAACGGACTTTATTTCGGTTGAATTCTTTAGTGGCCAAGTCGACCCCGATGTCGTAATCACAAAGATAGAAAAAGCATTGGGACTGCGGTTGCTGAATCAAGTCATCGACTCAGCATTTGTAGCTCACGGATTCGATGCGGTCGGCAAGCAATACGCAGGTGAAGCCCGGCTCTTCTTCGAGGCATTGGGCATCAAAGTGGAGACGGGCGAATACTACGAGCCAGGTAACGTACCCGAGAAGGTAATGTCTCGGATAGAACATTGCGACATGTTTGTGGCAGTAGTCACACCACAAGACGATCATACATGGATTACTCAAGAGACAATGTTTGCCGATGCTAAGGGTAAGCAGCCCATAGTTTTGGTTGACAGTTCGGTGAATTACAAAGCCGGGATGCTCGGCGACAAGGAATACATTGAGTTCACGTCTGGACGCCTATCGGAGACATTTGTCAAGATCTTGCAGGGCTTGAACCGACTTCGAGGGACAAGGTAAGTCGACCTTTGGGTAAAGCCGGTGGCTGTCGGAGTGGAACTGCATGGGGGGGCTTGCTTCCGTTCTGTCTGAATTCTTTTGTTCCTGTCTTTGACCGGCGGTATAGTTTGGCGCGGGTTGTGGATGGGTCTCTTGGGGTTTGATCGGGGGTGTGCCATGCGCGGGTTGGTTGGGGTGTGGGGCGAGACGTTGCTTTGTCGTGTTGTGGTCGTTGCGGTGGTACTCGCTTGTTTCAACTCGCGGGTTGAGGCGGGGTTCATGGTCGATGGTGCATTGGCCGACAAGCAGCAGTTTCTGACTTATCTCAATCTCTATGGGGCCGATCTGACGGGGGCAGTCACTCCGTTTTCTTATGCGACCAATGCGGGTGGTGACGGGGCCAGTGTGTTGGTGGTGGACGCGAATGATGTGACGAGCCACTTTGGTGCCCGCATGGCGGCGGCGATTGGCTCGCTGAATACGTTGGGTGCCGATCTGACGTTGGAAGTGGGGCAGAATATTCCGCGGGTTTTTCTGGGGGCCTTTCGCTTTGATCCGGGACCTCCGCGGGTTACGCAGGCGGCGGGACATCAGACGATCGACCTGGCGGATATGAATAAACTGTTGCCTTACTATCGGGTCGATCATCTCTTTGGTGGAACCGACCTGATTCTGCACGAAGTGTACGAGGGGATCGCGGGCCTGGGTGCCGCATTTCCGCCTGCGCATACCACGGGAATCGAAGAAGAGAACAGCAACCGCAGTGCTGAGGGGATTCGTGGCGTGCGTGTTGAGGGAAGTAGTATGGCCCGCGGTATGCCGTTGGTCGACCGGCTGTCTAAGCTGCAGTCGCAAAGCGGCTTTGTTCATGAAATCACCGGCGACCCGACCCAGGACGATGCCATCTGGTTCGTCAATAAGACGAACGGGAATTACCTCTACTTTACGCCTTGGGATATTCTCGACCCGACGGGTGACCCAAACTTGACGAAAGAGGGATGGCTGCAGATCAGTGGGACTATCGTCGGCACAGGTGCGCTAGAACAAAGGAGTGTGAAAGACGTCCAGCCGGGCACGTCTTCAATTGGCGGTGAGTACGGCATCGACAGTTTCACCGAATTCGACGTTCAGGTGGATAGCGTGATGTTCGTGGTGCCTGAGCCATCGAGTGCAGTGCTGGCCGGGATGGCCTTTCTATGCGTTGGCGTATATTTGCGGCGCTCTTGGTTGAAATAGTTTTGAAGCTGACGCTCATCGCTGCACATAAATGCGAAGCGTGATGCTTCACATTGCAGTTCCCGTGCAAGACTTCTCACCGTACCAAGTGGCGACCTGCGGAATGGTTGTAATGAATTTAAGCCACCGCAGGCGTAAGTCTCGTAAGCCAGATAGGATTCGTTGCGCCGATATGATGGCTTGAGACGGCAGGTGTGAAGGGCAGGGTGGCGGCTGATCTATACTTAAGAGGTATCAGCCGTGACAGGAACGGAACACCAGTCGGCGATCAGTCATTCTTCGGGCGGAGCATCATGCGCAGATTTCACAGCAGTGGTTGGCAGGTTGTGGGGGTGAGCCTCGCGGTGCTGTTGGTTTGCAGTTGCGCTTTTGCTCAGGAACCGCCCGAGGGTCAAGCAGCTCCGGCAGAGGAAGTTGCCCAAGAGCTGCGCGGGGTGGTGGTGTTGCGGATCTCGGAGGAACTGCTCGAGCGGTTGATTGCGACCGACATTCAGCAAGAGACCGACGTCGATCGATGTGTGCTGGGAACGCATGCGGTGGGGTCGGCTTACACCGAGGGTTATGCAGACGTCGATCCCAAGCCCGACCGCGATGATGCGGCCTTTCGAGTGGTGGTCTCTGGCACGAGTACTTCGCGCACCCGGGGACGCAACGGGCCGGCGATCATTCACAGCCGCACAGCGACCAAGTGGGAAGTGGCGAAGGTGATCCAGTTCGATGATGGGCGGTTCGTCACCTCGCCTGGAGTGATCGACATCGACACGACGTTGACGCCGCTGGGGGTGGATGCCTCGGTGCCGGGGATCCGCGGGTTGGTAACGCGCAGGGTCGCTCGCAAACGAGTGGCTGAAAGCCGACCCACGGCCGAACGCTTGGCTGAGGAGCACACGCGGGAACGGATTCTGGAGCAGGTGGATGATTCGATTGACGACAAGATTGCCCAACTCAACGAACGGATTCAGTCGCGGGTGGTGCTCGACACGCTGCTGCCGCT